GATACACCACCACCTGAACATTTTGCTAGTTACTTTTATAGGCCATCCTTTTTTCATTTTCTTGGGTATTAAAATCATCAGTTGAAATAATGCTCTTACACGCTGTGCTCTAGAGCAGATTTCATTAAGGGACCGAGTTTATCCCAGGAGCTTTAATCGTGTCTTATATGGACCTATTTTTCATTGTCCTCAAGAGACAAAATGTTCTCATGCACAGACTCTAAGGATGATATAGAAAAATCTGGTAAACTTAATAATGTTACATTTATATAGCAACTACATAATTTTTTAGATTCAAATTTCATTTAAAACTCTTAGTGCTGTTGTATCCTTATAGATGTAGACAGATATTATTACTTTCATTTGACACATGATGAAACTAAGGCCCAGAAAGTAAACTGTCTAAAGTCATAAAGCTCATTAGTGACAGTGAGGGGACTGGACTCCACTCTTACATTGCCCAGTTCTGGTTTCTTTCTAGTGAATGATGCTGCACCATTTGTATGTCTAGTCTAGTTAATTACTCCTTTTAATAAGAGACTATCAAGAAAGATCTATTGTAAATTTAGATACTTATCTTTAATATTCCCATTTAACCAATAGGGAAGCCAAAGCTTGGGAACGGTAACTAACATTTAAGGTCAAGGTGCAGCTTGTTGCCTTAGGATGGGAAGTTGAGCTCTATACCAAGATGCAAGGCTTGATAACCAAGCCTGGGAGTGTCGCCTGCATGGATGAGGACTCTGGCCTACCGTGAGGATTCAGGCTCATGGCAGCAGTGGGAAGGTAGGAAGATGTGACCTGGAGGAAAGTTTGTTCTTTCCAGCCCAGGGGAATAGAGGTAGAAGAAAGGTATCTGGGGCAGAGAAGTCGTTGGGGGCTGTGAAAAGGCCCAGTGTCCTGACTTCTCAGCTCTGGGCTTCAGGCTGCACAGAAGGAGGTGTTTTACACAAGCTATGGTGGAGCCTAAGAGCGGAGCAAACACAGCTTGTTCCTTATTTCATGCTATGAAAAGAATTCCCCTGCTGGACTGAATTCCCCATACCAACCATATCAGAATAAATTTATCAACACAATTAGATAGAAAGAAGCTTTGAAATTTAGTTTTCCTAAGCATCTCCAAGTCCTCGTTTAGAATACACCACCTTATTTCTACCTAAAAGCTAAGCACTTTGAATTGACCTGAGGAATGAAGCCCTTAGCCTCATGGGGCCAAGGGCTTATACAGACATACACTTGTACTGCCTCCTAGTGGGAGGTCTCAGAAATAACTGACTTGAGATGCAGATGGCTTGCCACAGAACCCTGTAGCAATGGAAGAGGAAACCCCACAGTAGAGGCTGGGGCTGAACTGCTTGGGTCAGGATGCCACACAGAGGACATGGCAGACACTCAAGGGTCTAAAACGCTACTTGAGAGTATTTCTGTGGAGGCAGCCAGGGAGCATCACTAGGCTGTGATCAACCCAAGAACAGACAATTCCTCAGAGACCAGAAGAACCAGCAGATGGTATAAGGAAGCCAAGTAAATCTGATCATTCTTCTGTCTTTCTCAAAATCATGGTGTTGCATAAGCTTCTTCCTTCAGAAAGGAGAGTCAAGCAGAGAATTTTCGCTTAAACTAGAACATTATCTGAAGCAACTCTTTAAATCACTGCATTGGAGTATGTTTTTTTAATCTTTAAATAATCTCAAACTTACAGAAGAACTGCAAATACAGTATAAAAACTGTACTCCCTCAGAACCATTTGTGACTAACTTGCTGAAATGATACATCTTAAGACCAAAATAAATCAATATATCATATTTCAAAAAAAAAAACCAAGAAAATTATCCTCTATGACTACACTACAAATATTAAAATTAGGGAATCAATACTGATAAATTGCTATCATTTTATCCTCAGGCTCCATTCCAACTTCAGGAATTGTCACAATAATGTCCTTTATGGCAAAAGGATGCAGTTCAGAATTGCACGATGCATGTCTTTATTTGTATCTGGAACACTTTCATGGCCTTGACTTTTTGAAGATTAAAGGCTAATTTGTAGAATATTCCTCAATTTAGGTTTTCTGATGTTCACTTGCAATGAGATCTAGATTGTTTACTTCTGGCAAGAATATTCCAGAAGTGATGCTGTGTATTTCTCATCGCGTCTAATCAGGTGGCGTATGATTTTCAGTTTGTTCCATTACTGATAATGTTCACTTTGATCGCTCCATTAAAGTCTGCCTTATCCATGGTAAGGGTACTCTTTTTCCCTTTTCAATTAACTGTTATTTTGTGGAAAGGTACTTTGAAACTATTTAAATATCCTGCTCTTTCCATACGTTTAGTTTACTTATAAATTGACTCATATTTTCTTGTGTTTATTGGGTTGTAATTCTTTCCTATCCTCATGTATTTTGATGCTCTGTGTCCTTTTGATATACCCGTTTCTTTCTTCAAGCACTTCCTTAGTTTTCTGGCAAACGGGTGCTCCAGACTCTGATCTACCTTGCTCAACTCCACCTAATGACTTCAGGACTGAATTGTTCAGGAAGGGAAGAGAAGGGAAGAGGAAGAGCTGACAAAGTTAATTTCTATCCTCCTTACCTCCCTATCCGATGTATGAAACTTCAAAGGAAGAGTCAGATTCTCCGCCGCAGCCGCCGCCGCCCCCAGGAGCCGCCGGGACCCTCGCGTCGTCGCCGCCGCCGCCCAGATCCCCGCACCATGCCGTCGGAGAAGACTTTCAAGCAGCGCCGCACCTTCGAACAAAGAGTAGAAGATGTCCGACTTATTCGAGAGCAGCATCCAACCAAAATCCCGGTGATAATAGAACGATACAAGGGTGAGAAGCAGCTTCCTGTCCTGGATAAAACAAAGTTCCTTGTACCTGACCATGTCAACATGAGTGAGCTCATCAAGATAATTAGAAGGCGCTTACAGCTCAATGCTAATCAAGCCTTCTTCCTGTTGGTGAACGGCCACAGCATGGTCAGCGTCTCCACACCAATCTCAGAGGTGTATGAGAGTGAGAAGGATGAAGATGGATTCCTGTACATGGTCTATGCCTCCCAGGAGACGTTCGGGATGAAATTGTCAGTGTAAAACTAGAAAAATACATCTATTCTAGAATTTTTTAAACCCTTACCAAGGAAAAAAAAGGGATGTTACCAACTGAGATGGATCAGTTCATCTAATCACAGATCATCCAACAGTAGTGTTCCCACCTAGGAGTGTTAGGAAGTTGTGTTTGTGTTTCAAGCGGAAAACTGAGCTCCAAGTGAGCACGTTCAGCTTTGGAAACTATATTATTTAATGTAGGCTAGCTTGTTTTCAGATTTTAAAAATTTAAAAATAAAATACTTTGCATTCTTAAGTTGCCAATAAAATACACCTTCAAGTTATTTTAATGCTCTTTTCTCACTAATAGGAACTTGCAATTCCAGGAGTAATTTAAAGGCTTTCAGAGAGACCCTGAGTCTTCTCTTCAGGTTCACAGAACCCGCCGCCTTTTCGGGTAGAAGTTTTCTACTCAGCTAGAGAGATCTCCCTAAGAGGATCTTTAGGCCTGAGTTGTGAAGCGTAACCCCCGCAAAATGCATTTGCCATCAGAGTTGGCACAAATGCAGGGTAAATGAGGTGTGTGTAAGAAAACGGCCCTGACTGTAAACTGCTGGAGGTCCCCAGCTCCTAACAGAACTACACCCAAAGTCCACACTCTTGCAGGGGTAGACATTTCTGGTTTGTTCTCTAGATAGTTACACACATAAAGACACCACTCAAAAGGAAACTTGAATAATTTATAATTTTGATCTAGTTTCTTAAAAGACCCTGGAGAAAGAGTGGCATTTCTTCTGTTTCAGGTTTTGAGTTCAAACTGGTGCCCGTGTTGTTACGGAAAACAGCAGAGTACCAGTGTCATTCTGGAAGACAGCGGTAGAAACCACAAAATGGTGTAACTGAAAGCATTAACATTCAGACACACTCGCTTCTGCCTTCTGGCTTAAAGCTATGGATGATTCACGTTGTTTTTTAATGTTAAATGTATAACTCAATATTACTGAAAAGGTTCCCACATTTTGAGTAGTAGTTGTCACTGTTAGGTCAGCCAGCCATCAGAATTCTCCCACACTAAGTGCATGTCAGTTGTGGAGAAAACATAGCAAAAAGAGCCATACGCTCTTTACAGATACTAATGTCAAGAGTTCAACCTCCTCAGGTTCAACCTGTGATAAAAGACCAGTGCTTCCCACTACCTGCATGGGGTTCACTTTTATAATTTTCTTGGGAGTATCACAGGAAAATCACAATTACACCACTTTAGACCCTATGTGTAGCAGGTCACAACTTACTTACCCTTGTGTGTTTAGATGTATGGAATACCTGTATACATTAGTGAAAGCTGTTTACTGTAACGGGGAAAACCAGATTCCTTGCATCTGGGCCCTCTACCGATTGTTAAAGGAGTTCCTGTCACCTGCTCTCCCCCCAGTGCATGCGTCTGTCCACCTGGCTAACTTTTAATATGTGTATTTTTACATTATGTAAATTCTTAACTGGCCTGTCTCGTTTAGACTGTATACATCATATCTGACATTATTGTAACTACTGTGTGATCAGTAAGATTCCTATAAGAAATACTGCTTTTTAAAAAAAAAAAAAGTAACATGCTGAGGGGTGACCGATATCCCATGTGAGTGGTCACTTTATTTATAGGATCTTTAAAACAAGTACATTTTTAATGAACTAAGTTGAATAAAGGCACAATTAAAAACTGTCAAAAAAAAAAAAAAAAAAAAAAAAAAGAAACTTCAAAGGAAACCAAAGTGCTTATCCTCTGCTATTGTGGATGGTAGTGTAAGGACATTTAAAACCTTGCTAAATCTATGTTACCAGGGAGAAGTGTTAGGAGACCTGTATTCACAGCTCATAGACTTCGTCGATTCCCTGGGTTGGTTACTTGTGTTCACGTTTTGTTCATCTCTCTATAGCGCTTAGCAACAAATCTGTGAAACAGCAGTAACATGAATCTGTTTTAGGATCTTCAATAATGGAAGAAGTGGTGAAACTTTAATACTATTCTAAAGTGAGTTCAGGGATTGGGCACAAGAGAGAAGGTACACTGGTAAATAAGCCCAAATCTCTGGAGTCTGAGAAAATGGAAAAAATGGAGAACACCAAAACTTGTCCAGGACCCAAAGGAGACCTGATGGCTTAAGAAGCAGAGGACAGTGCCTTGCCAGCAGCCCTGCACAGCTTCTCCCAGGGTAGAGGACGGCGCCTTGCCAGCAGCCCTGCACAACTTCTCCCAGGGTAGAGGACGGCGCCTTGCCAGCAGCCCTGCACAGCTTCTCCCAGGGTAGAGGACGGCGCCTTGCCAGCAGCCCTGCACAGCTTCTCCCAGGGTAGAGGACAGCACCTTGCCAGCAGCCCTGCACGGCTTCTCCCAGGGTTCGCAGTGTTCCTGGAGATTACGGGCCAGGCGACAACACTAGCGGTTCTACACCCTCAAAGTGGCTGCTTTTTCATAGAGAAATACAACCTGGGTAAGATAAATTTTTAACAACGTTTTCTCTCTGGGAAGTGGTGTTTTGAACAATATTCATTTTCTAGGTTTTTACATTTGTGATATGTTGGGGTATTTTACAAAATACATATTTTTTGTAATGAGAAAAATTACAGATGTAAGAAATAAAAAGTTAATGAATAGGGTGCTAAGTGGTTTATTAAAATATCGCATTTAGTTTTTTCTAAGATATAGTGTTACATTTAGTAAAATGTATACATCTTAAATATATAACTAGGTGGATTTTTACTTATGTGTACATTCCAGTAGCCACCATTTGGATCAAGATAGAGAATATTTCTGTCATTTAAGAGAGTTTTTTTGCATCTCTTCCTAGCCAATCACCAACCAAGGCACCACTCTTCTGACTTGTATCACATAGGTTATGTTCAGGAAGCAGGTCCCAGCTCTGCTTTGACCCTTAATGTACAGTGCCAACCTACACAAGTCCCTCTTCCTCTGTGTGTCTCAGGAAATGAACTAAAAGAACTTCATGAACCCTTTCCGTTGTACTATTCCACAAAAAAATATGATAAGTAGGGCATTTTCTCCAAGAGTTGTTAATAATTGAGCAGAAAGAATTATCTACCAACTTCCATACCTGACTCCATCTACCGAGCCACAGGGCTTTTGCGAAAATTAGTTCCTGAAGCTGAATCAAATAGTTAACTCAAATGTGAAGGGGATGCTTAATTTTGAAATATTAGGTTAAGGCTTCACTCATTCACTTATTCTACCAAAACTTTTTATTTTTACTATTTGTGACTTGCCCAACCTTTGTTTGGCAGGAAAAGGGCTTCTCTGGGGAGGCAACGATAGTCACAGCGGTGCCTGCTCCTCAGTCTCGTGGAAGAATGTGAACACAGGTCCAGGTGCCTGTAATGGAGGAAAGAAGTTATCAAGGTCACAAGAGAGAAACAGATACAGTTCTAAGAGGGGAGAAAACTCCGTTTCAGCTGGAACATTAGCTCAGGCTTCATGGAAGGGAAAGGGGGCGTGACTGAAGAGCTAGGCCTTGAACGATAAGCAGTAGTTGGATGCAGATAAATGGAGTTTACTCAAAAAATGTGCTCTTCTTTCATAAGGGTGACATGCTTCAGCTACAGGGCTTGCATAGGGAATTCTTTCTTCCAGCGAGATTAATGGTTTTGTGCTGAGGTCCCCACAGATTCTACCTGATTTATATCTGCCAGTCTGAAGGCCATGATTAGGGAAGTTTTTTGTGTAACAAATTGACGTCAAGTAATCTTTCACACATCATATGAAGAAATTAAGACATACAGAGAAAATTTCATGTTCGCAGGGCAGCTGTATATGAGTGATTCTGGTCACAACCCTCAAGGCAATTCTGTGTATTCTGTGTACACCCGAAGGGCTCCGAAGTTGTCTGGTTGGGCTGAACTGTAGATGTCTGTCCCAATGCCATGGGATTTTCTTTTCTGGAGGAAAATAGTACATCATAAATGTTGTCTTTTTCTTGTATTGCTGGTGTGAGTGTTTCTTTATTGATCTGACATTTGTATTATTGACTCTGAAAACATTGAGTGGCCCAAGACCTCACTTCACTGATTTCTGTGTCGAAAAACATATCCAGAGATCTTCAGATTTGAGCTCTCTTGGGGTGCTCCCCTGTGCTGTCACTGTGCATGAAAAAATCTTTAAATGAAGGCAGTGAGCCAAGAACCATATGCCTGGGCTCTCAAAGGAAGTCAGGAAAGGGAAAGTCACAGTTATTGGTTTTCTTTTGCTATTTATTCATTTTTAACAATATATTTAAAATTTTTTTTTACCCACAATTTGATCTACATTATCATAACGTTTTTATTGCATATTATATTTTTCCTAATAGAAAAAAATTTCTTTTGAATAAACATATATTAAGCTCCACTTACATGATAGGAGCTGATATTCTACGGAAATGCAGAAGAAAGAAGATTATAATTTCTCTGCATCATGTATCATATCACTCTCTATGTACAGGTAGTTTTCTAGGTGCTGGGGAGGGAGACAGGGTCTCAGAGGTGATCTCTTACAACCCTGCATTTTTTGGATGTAGAAATTACAGCTCAGAGATGTTATGTAATTTAATCAAGGTCTTGTGGCTAATACATTTCACAACTAGGATATGACCTTCTTTCCTAGATTAGTAGGCTTTCCATGACCAAAAATGTTCTTTTCATAGGAATAAAAGCAAATCTGGCCAATGTTTTCCTGAATTTGACGTATTTTGATAGGCTACGAACTGTTGGCTAGGGAACTTGAGTAATCTCTTCTCAATAGAACAGTATAGATTGCACTGGAACCATCAGATTTGTCTTGCCAAAGTGTGTTCACAAAGTCAGTTTGCATAGTTTGGAGTGGGAAAGTCATATAGCCAAGAGAGAATATATATTGATGAGAGAAAGACATTTTGCTACAGGATTTAACTTGAACGAATTTATTTATAATAGGTAAAAACTAAAAGGACCAAAATATGATCTGTTTCTAAAAGGGACAGTTGGTACCCACAGTATTATAGTGACTGCCCAAGCTACATATGTAACTAGAGTCAGAAATAATTTCAGGCTAGCAAATATATTACTGTCTTATCCTAGCCTCCATCAATTGAAATATGACTGCTACTATTATTCATGCTCTCTTTACCTCTACTTTCCCCTGTTTGGATCTAATCTGAACAAAAACAGACAGCCCTCATTTTTCATACACCAATCTACATAAGCACAGAACCACAGATTACTTTTTTTAATATAAGTTCTAGGGTACATGTGCACAACGTGCAGGTTTGTTACATAGGTATACATGTACCATGTTGGTTTGCTACACCCATCAACTCATCATTTACATTAGGTATTTATCCTAATGCTATCCCTCCCCCAGCCCCCCACCCCATGACAGACCCTGGAGTGTGATGTTCCCTGCCCTGTGTCCAAGTGTTCTCATTGTTCGATTCCCATCTATGAGTGACAACATGCGGTGTTTGGTTTTCTGTTCTTGCGACAGTTTGCTGAGAATGATGGTTTCCAGCTGCATCCATGTCCCTGCAAAGGACATGAACTCATCATTTTTATGGCTGCATAGTATTCCATGGTATATATGTGGCACATTTTCTTAATCCAGTCTATCATTGACGGACATTTGGGCTGGTTCCAAGTCTTTGCTATTATGAATAGTGCTGCAATAAACATATCAGTGCATGTGTCTTTATAGCAGCATGATTTATAATCCTTTGGGTATATACCCAGTAATGGGATTGCTGGGTCAAATGGTATTTCTATTTCTAGATCCTTGACAAATCACCACACTGTCTTCCACAATGTTTGAACCAATTTACACTCCCATCAACAGTTTAAAAGCATTCCTACTTCTCCACATTCACTCCAGCTGTTGTTTCCTGACTTTTTAATGATCGCCATTCTAACTGTTGTGAGATGGTATCTCATTGTGGTTTTGATTTGCATTTCTCTGATGATCACTGATGATGAGCACTTTTCCATGTGTCTGTTGGCTGCATAAATGTCTTGTTTTGAGAAGTGCCTGTTCATATCCTTTGCCCACTTTTTGATGGGGTTGTTTTTTTTCTTGTAAATTTGTTTAAGTTCTTTGGAGATTCTGGGTATTAGCCCTTTGTCAGATGAGTAGATTGCAAAAATTTTCTCCCATTCTGTAGGTTGCCTGTTCACTCTGATGGTAGTTTCTTTTGCTGTGCAGAAGCCCTTTAGTTTAATTAGATCCCATTTGTCAATTTTGGCTTTTGTGGTGATGGCTTTTGGTGTTTTAGTCATGAAGTCCTTGCCCATGCCTATGTCCTAAATGGTATTGCCGAGGTTTTCTTCTCGGGTTTTTATGGTTTTAGCTCTAACATTTAAGTCTTTAATCCATCTTGAGTTAATTTTTGTATAAGGTGTAAGGAAGGGATCCAGTTTTAGCTTTCTTCATATGGCTAGTCAGTTTTCCCAGCACCATTTATTAAATAGGGAATCCTTTCTCCATTTCTTGTTTTTGTCAGGTTTGTCAAAGATCAGATGGTTGTAGATGTGTGGTGTTATTTCTGAGGCTTCTGTTCTGTTCCATTGGTCTATATATCTGATTTGGTACCAGTACCATGCTGTTTTGGTTACTGTAGCCTTGTAGTATTGTTTGAAGTCAGGTAGCGTGATGCCTCCAGCTTTGTACTTTTGGCTTAGGATTGTCTTGGCAATGCAGGCTCTTTTTTGGTTCCATATGAACTTTAAAGTAGTTTTTTCCAATTCTGTGAAGGAAGTCATTGGTAGCTTGATGGCTATGGCATTGAATCTATAAACTACCTTGGCAGTATGGCCATTTTCATGATACTGATTTTTCCTATCCATGAGCATGAAATGTTCTTCCATTTGTTTGTGTCCTCTTTTATTTCATTGAGCAGTGGTTTGTAGTTTTCCTTGAAGAGGTCCTTCACATCCCTTGTAAGTTGGATTCCTAGGTATTTTATTCTCTTTGAAGCAATTGTGGTTGGGAGTTCACTCATGATTTGGCTCTCTGTTTGTCTGTTATTGGTGTATAGGAATGCTTGTGATTTTTGCACATTGATTTTGTATCCTGAGACTTTGCTGAAGTTGCTTATCACCTTAAGGAGATTTTGGGCTGAGATGATGGGGTTTTCTAAATATACAATCACATCCTCTGCAAACAGGGACAATTTGACTTCCTCCTTCCTATTTGAATACCCTTCATTTCTTTCTCTTGCCTATTTCCCTGGCCAGAACTTCCAATACTATGTTGAATAGGAGTGGTGAGAGAGGGCATCCTTGTCTTGTGCCAGTTTTCAAAGGGAATGCTTCCAGTTTTTGCCCATTCAGTATGATATTGGCTGTGGGTTTGTCATAAATAACTCTTATTATTTTGAGATACATTCCATCAATATCTGGTTTATTGAGAGTTTTTAGCATGAAGGGGTGTTGAATTTTGTGGAAGGCCTTTTCTGCATCTATTGAGATAATCATGTGGTTTTTGTCATTGGTTCTGTTTATGTGACGGATTATATTTATTGATTTGAGTATATTGAACCAGCCTTGCATCCCAGGGATGAAGCTAACTTGATCGTGGTGAATATCTTTTTGATGTGCTGCTAGATTCAGTTTGCCAGTATTTTATTTAGGATTTTTGCCTTGATGTTCATCATGGATATTGATCTAAAATTCTCTTTTTTGTTGTTGTGCCTCTGCCAGGTTTTGGTATCAGGAAGATGCTGACCTCATAAAATGAGTTAAGGAGGATTCCCTCTTTTTCTATTGATTGGAACAGTTTCAGAAGGAATAATACCAGCTCCTGTTTGTACCTCTGGTAGATTCGGCTGTGAATTTGGTCCTGGACATTTTTTGGTTGATAGGCTATTAATTATTGCCTCAATTTCAGAGTTATTGGTCTATTCAGAGATTCAACTTCTTCCTGGTTTAGTCTTGGGAGGGTGTATGTGTCCAGGAATTTATCCATTTCTTCTAGATTTTCTAGTTTTGTTTTTTTTTTTCTTTTGGCACAGAGGTGTTTATAGTACTCTCTGATGGTAGGTTATGTTTCTGTGGGATCGGTGGTGATATCCCCTTTATCATTTTTTATTGCATCTATTTGATTCTTCTCTCTTTTCTTCTTTAGTCTTGCTAGTGGTCTACCAATTTTGTTGATCTTTTCAAAAAACCAGCTCTTGGATTCATTGATTTTTGAAGGGATTTTTGTGTCTCTATCTCCTTCAGTTCTGCTATGATCTTAATTATTTATTGCTTTCTGCTAGCTTTTGAATGTGTTTGCTCTTGCTTCTCTAGTTCTTTTAATTGCGATGTTAGGGTGTCAATTTTAGATCTTTCCTGCTTTCTCTTGTGGGCATTTATAGTGCTATAAATTTCCCTCTACACACTGCTTTAAATGTTCCCAGAGATTCTGATACATTGCATCTTTGTTCTCATTGGTTTCAAAGAACGTCTGTATTTCTGCCTTCATTTGATTATTTACCTAGTTGTCATTCAGGAGCAGGTTGTTCAGTTTACATGTAGTTGTGTGGTTTTGAGTGAGTTTCTTAATCCTGAGTTCTAATTTGATTGCACTGTGGTCTGAAAGACAGTTTGTTGTGATTTCTGTTCTTTTACATTTGCTGAGGAGAGCTTTACTTTCAATTATGTGATCAATTATAAAACAAGTGCGATGTGTTGCTGAGAAGAATGTATATTCTGTTGATTTGGAATGGAGAGTTCTGTAGATGTCTATTAGGTCTACTTAGTGCAGAGCTGAGTTCAAGCACTGGATATCCATGTTAACCTTCTGTCTCGATGATCTGTCTAATATTGACAGTGGAGTGTTAAAATCTCCCATTATTATTGTTTGGGAGTCTAAGTCTCTTTGTAGGTCTCTAAGGACTTGCTTTATGAATCTGGGTGCTCCTGTATTGGGTACATATATGTTTAAGATAGTTCGCTCTTCTTGTTGAATTGATCCCTTTACCATTATGTAATGGCCTTCTTTGTCTCTTTTGATCTTTGTTGGTTTAAAGTATGTTTTATCAAAGACTAGGATTGCAACCCCTGCTTTTTTTTGTTTTCCATTTGCTTGGTAGATCTTCCCCATCCTTTTATTTTGAGCCTATGTGTGTCTCTGCACGTGAGATGGGTCTCCTGAATACAGCGCAGTCTTGACTCTTTATCCAATTTGCCAGTCTGTGTCTTTTAATTGGGGCATTCAGCTCATTTACGTTTAAGGTTAAAATTGTTATGTGTGAATTTGATCCTGTCATTATGATGTTAGCTGGTTATTTTGCCTGTTAGTTGATGCAGTTTCTTCCTAGCATCGATGGTCTTTACAATGTGGCATGTTTTTGCAGTGGCTGGTTATTCCTTTCCATGTTTAGTGCTTCCTTCAGGAGCTCTTGTAAGGCAGGCCTGGTGGTGACAAAATCTCTCAGCAGTTGCTTGTCTGTAAAGGATTTTATTTCTCCTTCACTTATGAAGCTTAGCTTGGCTGGATATGAAATTCTGGGTTAAAAATTCTTTTCCTTAAGAATGTTGAATATTGGCCCCCACTCTCTTCTGGCTTGTAGAGTTTCTGCTGAGAGATCTGCTGTTAGTCTGAAGGGCTTCCCTTCATGGGTAACCCAACCTTTCTCTCTGGCTGCCCTTAACATTTTTTCCTTCATTTCAACCTTGGTGACTCTGACAATTATGTGTCTTGAGATTGCTCTTCTTGAGGAGTATCTTTGTGGTGTTCTCTCTATTTCTTGAATTTGAATGTTGGCCTGCCTTGCTATGTTGGGGAAGTTCTCCTGTTTGTATCCTAAGGAGTGTTTTCCAACTTGGTTCCATTCTCCCCAACACTTTCAGATACACCAATCAAACATAGAGTTGGTCTTTTCACATAGTCCTATATTTCTTGAAGGCTTTGTTCATTTCTTTTTACTCTTTTTTTTCTAAACTTGTCTTCTCACTTTATTTCATTTATTTGATTTTCAATCACTGATACCCTTTCTTCCACTTGATTGAATCAGCTATTAAAGCTTGTGCATGCATCATGAGGTTCTTGTGCCATGGTTTTCAGCCCCGTCAGGTCATTTAAGGTCTTCTCTACACTGTTTATTCTAGTTAGCCGTTCATCTACCCTTTTTTCAAGGTTTTTAGCTTCCTTGTGATGGGTTAGAACATGCTCCTTTAGCTTGGAGAAGTTTGTTATTACCGACCTTCTGAAGCCTACTTCTGTCAACTCGTCAAAGTCATTCTCCATCCAGTTTTGTTCCATTGCTGGCAAGGAGCTGCAATCCTTTGGAGGAGAAGAGATGCTCTGGTTTTTAGAATTTTCAGCTTTTCTGCTCTGGTTTCTCCCCATCTTTGTGGTTTTATCTACCTTTGGTCTTTGATGCTGGTGACGTACAGAGAGGTTTTGCTGTAGATGACCTTTTTGTTGATGTTGATGCTATTCCTTTCTGTTTGTTAGTTTTCCTTCTAACAGTCAGGTCCCTCAGCTACAGGTCTGTTGGAGTTTGCTGGAGGTCCACTCCAGACCCTGTTTGCCTGGGTATCACCAGTGGAGGCTGCAGAACAGCAAATACGGCAGAACAGCAAATATTGCTGCCTGATCCTTCCTCTGGGAGCTTTGTCCCAGAGGGGCACCCACCTGTATGAGGTGCCTGTCAGTCCCTACTGGGAGGTGTCTCCCAGTTAGGCTACACAGGAGTTAAGGACCCACTTGAGGAGGCAGTCTGTCTGTTCTCAGAGCTCAAACACCATGCTGGGAGAACCACTGCTCTCTTCAGAGCTGTCAGACAGGGATGTTTAAGTCTGCAGAAGTTGTCTGCTGCCTTTTGTTCAGTTATGCCCTGCCCACAGAGGTGGAGTCTATAGAGGCAGTAGGCCTTGCTGAGCTGTGTTGGGCTCTGCCCCGTTCAAGCTTCCCAGCCGCTTTGTTTACCTATTCAAGCCTCAGCAATGGCAGATGCCCCTCCCTCCCCCAGCCAGGCTGCCGCCTCACAGTTCAATCTCAGATGGCTGTACTAGCAGTGAGCAAGGCTCTGTGGGCATGGGACCCACCGAGTCAGGCACAGGAGAGAATCTCCTTGTTTGCTGGTTGCTAAGACCTTGGGAAAAGCACAATATTTGGGCTGGAGTGTCCCGTTTTTCCCACTACAGTCCGTCACAGCTTCCCTTGTCTAGGAAAGGGAAATCCCCCGACCCCTTGCGCTTCCCAGGTGAGGCAGCACCCTGCCCTGCTTCAGCTCGCCCTCCGTGGGCTGTACTCACTGTCCGACCAGTCCCAAAGAGATGAACCAGATACCTCAGTTAGAAATGCAGAAATCACCCGTCTTCTGTGTCGCTCACGCTGGGAGCTGCAGACCGGAGCTGTTCCTGTTCAGACATCTTGGAATGGAAGCCCACAGATTACTTTTTTAAAAGCATGACTTCAATGCTATTTATTCATTAGCTCATTTTAAAATTCATTTAGCAAACTTATATGGAGCATCCAGCTGTTAAGTGTATCAGGTTCAGTCCTTGACATAGAGGATACAGTAATAAAAAGAAAAGACTAAATCCCTGCAGTCAGAAAATTTACATGACAGTGGGAGAAGAAAGGTATAAACAAAAACATACAGAACATGTTGGTCGTTAATAAGAGCTCAAAAGAAAACTTAATTGCATTATGAGGTGCAGAGGAAAAGATTGGCAGGTGGAGGCTGCTATTTATAGATACTAGTTGAGGAAACCCTTTCCAAAAGGATGACATAAGATGAGGCCTGAGTGAAGTGAGAAACTGAGTCATTAGCAATAGCATTCCAGTCAGAGGTAACAGCAAGTGCTATGACCCTGAATATGCTTAACGTGCTGAAGAAGAGCAACGTGGTCATTATGGCCAAAGGAAAGAATTGGGAAGTAAATCATGCAAGGCTCTATGATTAGAAGCCACTGGACATTGTAAGCAGAGGAATGGAATTTTTTTCATTTTTATCTTGAAAGGCTCATTCTGGTTGTTGAGTGTAGATGGTAACTAATGGGCAAGGGAGGGCAGAGTTTTCTTTCAGAAAGCCATTTAATAGATAGGGTCTATGGAAGATTGAAGCCTTGGACCAGGGTGGCAGGATGGAAGAGCTGGGAAGTGACCTGATTCTGGATATAATGTGATGATGAAGTCAATAGGAATCGCTAATGGATTGACTAAGACTTATGGAATAAAGAAAGGGGTCAAAGTAGGTGTCAGAATTACAATGGTAAACAAAACGGACAGGGCCCTGACCTCAGGGAGTTTATCTACTGGTGGAATAGGCAGCCAGTAAGCAAATAAATGTGATTACATTTTGTGATGAGTACTGAAAAGGAGACAGCAGTTATATTGCTACAAAATAACAAGGGGTACCTGCTTATAGCAGAGGAGTCAGGGGCAGCCTCTACGAGAAAGGGGTATTTAAGCTAAAGCCTGAAGAATGAGAAGGAACCTGCCATGCAAAGATGCAGGGGTACAGTGATCAGGAGGCTCCAGCAAACATAATAGCCTGGAGGTCTCAGGGCTGAAAAGAGGAAGTCAGGAATTAAAGCCGTCTGCCCAGTCTTAAACCTGTTGTATTCAACTCTTACCTGCTCTAGCACAATGGTTTTCCGGATGTGATCTGTGGACCCCAGAGTTCCCTGAGACCTTTTGAGGGCTTTCTACGAGGTCAAAACTCTTTTCATGCAAACACTAAGACATTATTTTCACTTTCCCTACACATTCTCTCATGAGTATACAGTGTTTTTCAAAGGCTACAAGGTATATAATGTCACAACAGATTTTTTTTTTTGAGGTGGACAGGGTCTCACTGCACTCTAGCAGTGATGCAATCACACTGGTGCAATCACAGCTCACTGCAGCCTTGAACTCCTGCCTCAGCCACCCAAGGAGCTGGAACTATGGGTACATGTCCGCATGCCTGGCTAATTTTTTTTTTTTTTTTTTGGTAGAGGGGGGAGGTCTCCCTACGTTGCCTAGGATGGTCTCGAAATCCTGGCCTTAAGCCATCCTCCCGCCTCGACTTCCCGAAGTGATCACAACAGATTAAATGCAAAGCAAATATGAAAATCCAGCTGCCTTCAGTTAAGCCAGGCACTAAAGAAATGTGGCCAAATGTAAAGCAATGTCACTCTTCTAACTAAATTATTTCTATTTTGTGGAAGAATCATTTTTCATAACATATAATTTGTGTTAACAAGAGAAAGGGTTATTAATGTTATTTTTTAACAAAGTAATAAATATTTTTAATTGTTCAGTATTGAATAACGTAAATATAAATGAAAATAATCCACAAAAACAAAGGTTCTTTGGGTCCTCCGTGATTTCTAAATGTGTAAACATCTTAAGACCACAAATCTGAGAACTGCTACTCTAGTACTAATGTTAAAGCTCTCTCCAATTTTCTACTTTGTCTCCAGATATAAAATACCTTTAACACACAGAACTTTCTGTAACAAACAGTAGAAACAATTACCAACATTTATTGAGTATTTACTACATTCTAGGCATGTCCTAAGCGTTCCACATATTTTAACTAATTTAATCCTCTCAAACAAACCCATGTATTGGATAATTTTATTACATCCATTTTAGAAGGAAGAGACCAAGGAACAGAGACATGAAAACTTGCCCCAGGCCACACAACTAGTAAGTGATAGAACGGATAACCCAAGCAGTCTTGCTCTTTAGAAAACATCTCTATCCGCCAGCAGTAATTTAATACGTATGAACAAATAAAAGAAGATTTAGTTCGAATGCTATGGAAACCTCCCTTGAAAGGGATGACAGTAGCTCCACCTGTCTGGTGGATCCAGGTCAAGCAGAGTGGTGGCCTGAAATATAATGCGGTAAGAAGCACCAAAGGCAGGCGAGAACCCTGGCCAGGGCGCAGTGAGCATTGAGCCATAGAAACTCAACTCTGCCATGTCCCACAGGCAAGCGTGAATCAGGATGACAGTCAATGCCACAAAATCCAAAGCCGTGTGGGTGCTTTGGGGGCAGGAGCAAGGGCAGGAGTGAAGCTCAGGCTTCTGCACCAACCCAGTGAGACATCAGTCATCTCTAATTGCACCACAGCAATCTGCCCCTCTGATTCTCAGAGGAGGACCACAAGGACCATATTCCATAGAGTCATAACTCCAGGTGAGGCCTTAGTTGAAGCTGGAAAATATTTCCTCTCTTTTTCCCACCCCACTAACTGAAGGTCACTGAATTAGAAGTTTCCAGACAAACAATAGGAAAAGGGCTGGAATGCTTAAGACTTATTTTGATTTATTGAAGAATTCATAGGATCCTTCATAGGAATTTGTAGGACTTCATAGGTGGATCACCTGGTTTAATAGCATCAGGATAGGGAAACACCCACATCAGAATATATTTTGCAATACAAGTTGAGTATCCCTTATCTAAAATGCTTGAGACCAGAAGTGTTTGGGTTTCAACTTTTTGGATTAGAGATGCTCAAATTGTAATATACTTGGTGAACTAAATAATCACACATGGTTTGCAGATTTTAGCTTGAAGAATCTTTTAAGTGACACAAGAATTCCTAAATGCAAATTTGTTATAATCAGGCATAAAGACCAGAATCAACAGAGAATAAAAATCTAATTATATTCTACTGAACATAAATATCATTTATAATAGCCATTTGAAAATGTCACTTAAAGTTTTTCTGCTTAGTAGAATGAGCTACAAGTTTCACTTTCAGTATAAGGCAATTGTGAGATAAAAGGGAAATTTTTGTATATGAGAAGTCAGCCTCATTTGTCACAGACGATAAAACCTCTTTCCCTCTCCCCTGCCCTGAGATGAGTATAACCTCACCAGAGTGTGTATTATGCAAATGAGGTGATGGATAAGAGGAAAGGAAACTTGGAGAAGCCCATTTGGTTTATATTGGAAACAGATAATATAAAATAGACACCTCCCTTGAGAGCTATCTTCAAAGCCCCCTTTATGTCCCTCCCATACCATTCCCATCCCTACCTACAAAGGTAAGCACCATCTTAACAGTCTTACCATCTATTTTTTTCCTAAAAATAAATTGTTTAATTTTGCACGTTTCGAACAGTAGGTAGGTGAAGTCAGATTGTATGTGCTCTTCTGCAATGTGCTTTGTACACTGCACTCTCAGCTCCTGAGTTTCATCCATGTAGGTGGGGCTTATTCTTTTTCTCTATTGTGTGGAATTCTACTATTGGCCTCATTCACATTTTCTTTGTTCATTCTCCTTTTGACTGACAGTTTGGTTGTTTCCGGTTTTTTCTCTATATACAGTGCTTCTGTGAACCACCGTGTGCCTGAGTCTTTGTGCTGACTGACAGTTTGGTTGTTTCCGGTTTTTTCTCTATATACAGTGCTTCTGTGAACCACCGTGTGCCTGAGTCTTTGTGCGCATCCCTGAGGGTCGCTTCAGATGTACATCTAGGACCAGAATTGCAGGGTTATGCGGGATGCACGTCTTCAGCTGCTCTGAATCATGCCATTTGCTTAATCAGTTACTGAGAGAAATAAGCTAAAATCTCCCGCAGCGTTGATGGATTTTAAAATTCCTCTTTGCTGTTTCAATAATTCTGGTGTTACAGCTTTAAACTGAGAGATGATTCCCTTCACATTTACTGTAAATTTGTGAATAATTTGTTTGACTTTACTTATATTGCTTTATATTGTCTTATTTTTACATTTTCTGTGAACTTTCTCTTTTCTTGACTACTTTTCTTTTTTTTGGAGACAGTCTCTCTCTTGTCACCCAGGCTGGAGTGCAGTGGTGTGATCTCAGCTCACTGCAACCTTGGCCTCCCAGGTTCAAGCGATTCTCCTGCCTCAACCTCCCAAGTAGCTGAGATGACAGGCACCTGCCACCATGCCCAGATAATTTTTGTATTTTTAGTAGAGACGGGGTGTCACCATGTTGGTCAGACTGGTCTTGAACTCCTGATCTCAGGTTATCTGCCCAACTTGGCCTCCCAAAGTGCTGGGATTAAAGGCATGAGCCACCGTGCCCAGGCTTTTTCTTGACTTCTTTTTGATTTATTGAAATTATGGTGGATTATCAAAATGAGATTCAATCATTTCTCTCCCTGTAAAAGGAATCCCTTTGGTAATAAGACTTTGCATTTCCTTCTATCAAGAGGTGAAAGAAGCTATACCAGCCCTAAGTCTATGCCAGGAGTTAGCAAACTAAATCCCATAAGCCAAATCTGGCCTGCTGTCTGTCTTTTAAAATAAAGATTAATTGTAACACAGCCACATTCATTCATGTACCTATTGGCAATGGATGCTTTCTTGCCAAAACAGCACAGCTGAGTGGTTGCAATTGTATGGCCTGCAAAGCCTGAAATATTTACTATCTGGACCTTTACAGAAAATGTTTGCCAATCTCTGATTTAGGCCTCAAGAGACCTTGTATTCATTCTGTTGGACTTGTCCAGTTGATATGTGAACAGAGCAGGCTGGCCTGTTGGAGGATGAGAGGCTACAAGGGAAAGAGATGAGCTGCCCAGATAAGGCCATCTCTGACCAGATCCCAGGAATGAAGCGTGAGTCATTACATGAGTGAGTCTATCCAAGAACAGCTAAATCTAGCCCAAATTAATGGAACAGCCTAGTTAACCTAGTTAACCTACCAGCTGATGAGTAATAATAAATGATTGCTCTTTTAAGACATTAAGTTTTAGGGGAATTTGTTAAGCAGCTGATACAGAAGTTTGCGGCGTTTTTCTTCCTCATTTCATTTTTTATTCTAGCAGTGAGAATTTATACCCTCTGTTATTTTCTATTTTTAATTCTGTTAGTGCTCATTCTAAAAATTCTAGTGTGCATAGTCTAAAGTCAATCATCTTCTCCTTTCTCATAAACAATACAAGAACCTCAGATGACTGACTCTGATCAGCCTCCTCCCAACTTATATACTATTATTGTACAGAATTTTTGTTCTACCTTACAAAACTCCATAAATTAGATATTATTACTATTAATTATTGTCTTTCACTGTTATGTTGTTTAGATTTACTCATAAATGTATGTATTTCTTTGCTCATTATTTCTTCTTGCACATGAAACCTTTCATGTTTTAGGAAGTTTTTTTGTGAGAATTGGTTATTTCCACATTCTTTCAGTTTTTTTCTGAAAGTATTTTATTTTGCCTTCGTTATTAGAAGATATGTTTTACCAAGTATACAATTCTGGATTGATAGTTATTTTCTCTCAATAATTTCACTATACCATTAGACTTTCTCTCTGGCTTTCATTTTTATTTTTTCCTGGGGAACCAGCTGTCATTTTGACATTTGTTCTTTTTAAGAATATTTGTCTATTTCTTCATACACTCAACTTATCTTCAACTTATCTTCTCTCTTTTTTTTTTTTTTTTTTTTTTTTTTTTTTTTTTTGAGATGGAGTCTCACTCTGTCACCCAGGCTGGAGTGCAGTGGTGTGCTCTCAGTTCACTGCAACCTCTGCCCCCCGGGTTCAATTCTCCTGCCTCAGCTTCCGAGTAGCTGAGACTACAGGCATCCACCACCACACCCGGCTAATTTTTGCATTTTTAGCAGAGATGTGGTTTCACCATATTGGCCAGGCTGGTCTCAAACTCCTGACCTCATGATCTGCCCGCCTCAGCCTCCCAAAGTGCTGAGATTACAGGCCGCACCTGGCCATCTTCTCTCTTTTTCTAATTGTGTTCCACTATACTGTATCTAGTAGTATATTTCTCTTTTTCTTACTTATATTCCGAATTTGTTCAGTTTCCTGAAATAAGAACAGGTTTTTAAAATACATTTGAAATATTTTGGGGCGTTAACGCCTTACATATTGACTCAATTCTATTTTCCCTCTTCTCTTCATTTGTAACTCCAGTTAGATATACGTCAACTTTCTCATTCTCTTTTACATTACTTACTCCCACTGTCACATACATTTTATTACTTTTTCTCTCTGAGAAGCATGTTGAATAAATTTTTCTGTCTTCCAGTTTACTGATCCTTTCCTCATTTATATAAAGTCTGCTATAACATACATTAGTTTTTTAAAAATTGAAATAGAATTCATGTACCATAAAATTTATCCTTTAAAAAAGATGTACAATTCAGTGTTTTTAGTAGATTCACAAAGTTGTACATAATCATCAATGTCTAATTCCAGAACATTTTTATCATGCCAAAAAGAAACCTCACACCCATTAACAGTGGCTTTCTTTTCCTCCTCTCTCCAGACCCTGGCAATCATTAACCAGGTTTGTCTCTATGGATTTGCCTGTTCTGGGCATTTCATATAAGTGGGATCATACAATATGAGGCCTTTTGTGTCTGGCTTATTTCACATAGCATAATGTCTTCAAGATTTATCCACGTTGTAAGTGTGTATCAGTATTTCATTTTTTTATTGCTGGATAACATTCTGTTATAGAGGTAATATTTTATTTATGCATTCATCAGTTGAAAGACAGTGGATTGTTTCTACTCCTAACTATTATGAGTAATGCTGTTATGAACATTCATGTGAAGTGTTTGTGTGGACTACGTTTTCAGTTCTCTTCCAGGAGTGGGAATGATGGGTCATATGGTAACTCCATGCTTAACATTTTGAGGAACTGTCTGATTGTTTTCCATGGCGGCTCCACCATTTTATATTTCTACCAGCGTTGTATGAGGATTCCAATATCTCCATATCCTTACAAACACTTGTTATTTTCTGCTTAAAGAAACAATTTATATCCATCCTACCAGTCATAAAGTGGTATCTTACTGTGGTTTTGATTTGTATTTTCCTAATAACTAATAATGTGAACATCTTATTTTGTGTTTATTGGCTATTTGTATAACTTATTTGGAGAAATGTCTGTATAAGTGTTTTGCCCATTTTTAAGCTGGATTCTTTTGTCTTTTTGTTGTTGTAAGATTTCCTTATATATTCTGAATACTAAATCTTTATTATATATTTAATTTGCAAATATATAATCATACATATTTTCTCCCATTATGTAGGTTGTCTTGTGTTCTTTACCTACATTTTCAAATTTTGATTAAGTCTAAATATTATTTTGTTGTTGTTGATTGTGCTTTTAGTGTCATAGCTAAATCATTGTCAAATGCAAAGTCATATGATTTATTCCTAAATTTTCTTCAAAGACTTATATTTTCTGCTCTTACATTTAGGTCTCTGATTCATTTTGAATCCGTTTTTATATACGGTGTGAGGTAAGTGTCTAACTCATTCTTTTGCATGTCACTATCCAGTTGACCCAACACCATTTGTTAAAGAGGCACAAAACCTTTTTAAATTTAATGACATTTAGTTTTTCTATTTTTTCTTTGGTTAGTTGTACCATAGGTGTCTTACTTAAGAAACCATTACCTAATCCAAGATCACAGAAATTTATACCTATTTATAACACAGATGTTAAATTTAAATAGCAATATTTTATTCCTACATGTTCATTTGATTTTTTCCTAAATCTGCCTGACCAATCTTACAGTCTCTTATTCCTTAGCCAAATTTTCTTTTCCTACTTATTTTTTTATGCATAGCAAACATATTATTCTATGTCAGTCTAATAATTCTAATATTTGAAATCTCCAATATCTGATTCAATTGTCTGTTATTTCTTGCTGGCTTTGGTTTGCCTTATTTCCAATGAGGGCCTTATGGTTTTGACTGCAGGTTTGAAATTTTATCTGTGGGAATCTTAACTTGAAGATGAATTCCCATAGAAAGATTTTAAAATATTCTTTTCCAAAAGCACAGGATTGTAAGAAAAAACTAGGTGCACTTTATTTTTATAATTTGGCAGGTGAGGGAAGGTGTTCAGGGTATCTAGTCTGTCATTTTTCTGGAAATGAGTCCTATAATTAACTTCTACTTAATATTATAGTTACATATATATAATACACACATATATGTATGTATATGTTATTAGACTCTCAGCTGCTCTAAAGAATATCTGATTTTATTTCTTTCTTTCACAGCACCTAGTATTATGCAATGCCTAAATAAATGCTTTTTAAATGTTCAATTAATAAATTAATAAATTAATTTGTGCATATAAATTTAATGTTAATTAATTGAAATTCTTAGCTGATGAGCTGAAAACATCTGAAGGCCTTGGGGTGTAATAAGAATTTATATGTTATATGTTAGCCAAACACAGCTATAGACACAGGTACATTTTACATAATTTACTACATGTAAATTATAGTGTGATTATTTAAAGATAAATTATTACAAATGTATATTCTGCTAAATTCATAAAAATGTGTGGTCCTCACAATTCTCCAAGACACCAAATAATAAAACTGCAAGTATTATCACATCTGCATAATTTTTTTTTTGTTTTGAGATGGAGTCTTGCTCTGTCTCCCAGGCTGGAGTGCAGTGGCATGATCTCGGCTCAATGCAACCTCTTCCTCCCAGGTTCAGATGTTTCTTCTGTCTCAGCCTCCCGAGTAGCTGGGACTACAGGCGTGTACCACCACACCCAGCTAATTTTGTATTTTTAATAGAGACAGGTTTTCACCATGTTGGCCAGGATGGTCTCCGTCTCCTGACCTCATGATCCACCCGCCTCAGTAATTACAGGCATGAGCCACTGCATCCAGCCATATCTGTGTAATGTTACACAGGTTGTAAACAGGTTGTACTCAAAAAGTTGAAACTACTAACATTAACATAGCATGTCTGGATCATTGTTATGGGTGAATTTTAGTAGTCGGTAGATTTCTTGAAGAAATTTAAATCTAAATCTCCTTCCTGGAAACGTACCTCATAGTTAAATAAGTGACTTGTCTATACTATTCTCTTTAGGAAATAATCCTTCTTAATGTTGTGACATGGGCTAGGGTGTTTGCTCTCCAAAGCAGCTGCTGCACTCAGTACCATTTTTCAAGGCATTGCTTCTTTCTCTCTCAGTCAGTATCACACATAACTAAGACTTCATTGAAATGGTCACAGCATAATGTGCCTAAGAATTGTTTTTGCCTTGTCATTTCATATGTCTTTCCCCCAAAAGATTTATTTAATCATTTGAAAGAACAATTAGTCAATAGAGTAGGGAAGTATTTAACTTTCAGAATATTCATATAAGTGAATCAAATGCAATAAAAGATGTGAAATAACTATAAAGACAGTAAACCACTGTAAAAACAAATAGAATTATTTTCATTATCAAGGCATTAATATTGAAATTGATAATGTTTAATAATATGATAAACACTTGGCTATGCTTTTCTTTTTGGGGACAGTTATAAAAGCTAAGAAAGTAATTATGGATATTTTTATATAATCATTGCAGTATTTCTAATTAATGCCCCCTTTTTCCATACATGGAGGATGAATTCAGAGAAGTAAGATCTTATTTTGTTTTTAACCCTCAGGATAATAGGAAGTTTATATGCCATTGAAGAGGCAGAGAGGAGCTGCAGCATGTATTCACAACTCAGAACTCGTCCTGTGAAGGAGGAAAACGATGCCCCTTAGACCGAAGAATTAAGAGATGACTTACATTTGAAAAACCACCCACAGCTGCACGTTGATGTGTAAGTTGCACTCAGTGCCTTTTGGATGTGACGTGGGAAAAAATCCCCATTGTCCACATTGGCCTCTACAGAAGTTTTGTTGAAAACTCTCCCCAAGGAATCCTTCTGCATTTTGTCTTTGTGCTTGTGCTTAGTGGTGGTAAATGGATTAACACAGCAGTCTCTGATAGTATGATAGATGGAGTCGGAAGAGCAATTTTCTAAACACCCTTTCCTTACTTGATGGATGTCTCCATTGCTATCTCTTCCCTCGGGGCTCTTTGTGTGCAAAATCTCTCTTCTGAAAAGAGTTTTCATTGCATGCTATTAGTAGTGAGTGAATTTATGGCGTCCTCTCGTGCAAGCAGCCTTTCTGCCATTCTGTAGGTATTATAGAATCTGCTCTAGCACTATATGCAAAATGACAACCTAGTTTTTTGATCAAAAGGTTCCACTGGGTTAACATTTTCAAGTATGAAACAGAATTTAGCTCCAAAAAACATTGATTTTCTTCTCACCACACTGAAGTGCAGCTGAAACTTACTGTCCAGCTAGAGCAGCATTTACCTTCTTAGACATTTAGCTAATCCTGTGGTACTCCTCTGCTGTCATCAGCACCTCCATCAATAATCTTACTTGGTTCCATCATAAACCTCAGCTGGGGCCAGAGGATACATCTTGATTACACTAATCAGCATGTATTTCTCCTCCATGACCCCTCCCATTTGAACCCTGAAGCATGTGGGTCCCTGTGATGAATGGGAAAAAAGTTGCCAAGACCAATGAACAAAGACACCAAATTTGGGAAGGAAGGGTTTTTGGTAAACAGCAAGGATGTAGGTGTGAGGTGTAGAATTTAAAAATTGTTACTATACATCTGAACCAAATCTTTTTTCTTACTTTTTCCCATCTTCTTCGTAAAAGAGCAATCTCTGGTAACAGAGAGTTGAGAAGTGGATTATGTGCTCCAATAATTGGAACTTAAAATGGTGAACAGGGGGCAAACTCCCTCTTGAAATTAGGGAATTAGAACCAGCTTCCAGCTGAAGATTTTTGAGAACAATTTCTTTTCTGGCAATAGTCTTTGTACCACCTGGCCAAGCAGAGAGCAGTGAGGTGACAGGGTAATGAACATGGATAGGAGAGACCTGAGGACAGCTCCCTCCTGAATCTTCCTGCTACCCCACAAGTGGTGAGGAAGAGATGCAAAATTTTATCCCCATAAATAGAATGTGAAATATTTCTGCAGGTGAGAGCCACCACCTGCTAAAAAGTTCTTTAAAATAAGTGAGAAAACTTACATTGAAAGAGGTGTAATATTTCAGTCACCAGCTGGAAAATGTGGAGCTGAAACCTTATAAGTGTCACCCCTGCCACAGAGACAAGGAAGAGGACCACATTTTTTCCTTGCCAGAAGAGTCACCATGCATAACCCAGGGGTACAAGACAGACTATCTATTATTATTAGCAGCAGCAGACACTATATAGATACTGTCAGGGACCCCTGGCTCACCTTCACCCCTCCTGCCCATCCTTGAGATATAAATCTCCCCTAAATTAAAACACCATTCCCTGAAGATGGAGAAGACAGTAGAATCTTGAATTGACAATATTTTAACCTATACTGACTTGGAAAATTACTAGGGTGGACTGAATAAAATACCCACTTTTTGGCAGGCTGTACAATGCAAAGCCAGATCACATTGAGTTATATGAGTAAAGTTTACCTGCATCCTCAAGATTGTAGTAACTGTGAAAGTTAAGATGCTAAAATTTATTTATTTATTTATTTATTTTTTGGTTTATGAAGAGTACAATAGGATACCAAGATCAAGTAAAATAGTTTTTCTTTTTAGGAAAAATGTGAATATTCAATATGGGGATTGGAGGAATGGGCAAGAGAATTATAAGAAAGTTTCTTAAAATGCTTACCATTTTTAGAGAAATATTAATAGTAGATTTTGGGGTGGGGGGAAAGAAAACCTTGCATTAAAGCCAAAAGGAACAGAATCTGAAACTTTTTATCTGTGAAAATGTTATATTCTGGAAGATTGTTAAGAAAAGCAAATTCCCATAAATTCCAGGACAATTTTAATCCAAATTAAGCCTAGATTCCTGTGGAAGAAAACAACTACTGGCTTTGGAACGAAGAAGAAAGAAAAATGAACTAGCAGTGGACTGTGGATATTTGAAACGCCCAAGTCTACAATTTGCCTCGTTTATACTTTTTTTTTTTTTTTTTTTTTTTTTGAGACAAGTCTTGCTCTGTCGCCTAGGCTGGAGTGCTGCAATGGCGAGATCTCGGCTCACTGCAAGCTCCGCTTCCCAGGCTCAAGGGATTCTCCTTGCTTCAGCCTCCTGAGTAGCTAGGACTACAGGCGTGCACCACCACACCCAGCTAATATTTTGTGTTTTTAGTAGAGACAGGGTTTCACCATATTGGCCAGTCTGGTCTTGAACTCCTGACCTCAAGTGATCCACCCACCTCGGCCTCCCAAATTGTTGGGATTACAGGTGTGAGCCACCACGCCCGGCTATTTGTACCTTTTTAAAGTAAAACTGTCCCACCACAGATTGCATGCTTCAGACGACTCATTAACAATGCAAGAAAAATGGCAGAAATATGTTCTATGAACCCAGGCAAAGGATATTTCCCAGGTGGAAATTATCGTTGCAAGATAAAGAATCATCAACAGCAAAGCAAAAGTGGGTTTAGATACTTCTCAGGTTCACGTTTTAGTGACTATCATCATTTCACCTTTGGCGACCAGAACAAGTTACGCTGTAAGCATATTTTCAGTGGACTATAAATGATGGAATAATAATTATTTGAAAATAATTTCAGCTTTGGCTTTAATAACCAGAGACTGTATTTCTCAACATATTAGATTAGAAGAGAAATCGGATTTTAACAGCTTGTCTTTTTAAAAAATCCTAATTCCAAAATGGAATGCAGCTGGTTATTTTTTATTATTGTCTTGAATATTCTCCTTTCATTCATGTATTTCAATATCTTTTGTTTTTTGAAAACTAAGGAATGGACTAAGATAAACTTAACCCAAAAACGTTACCTTAAATGAACTTTAGTTCCGACCTTTCTAGCCAGTTAACTCCATCTAATACTAAAAAGTGACATTTACAAAATACTATAAGGAAATTTCAATCTCCAATGCTTCCCCTTCATTAGAAGGCAAGACCCAGTTCCTTGGGTAATATTTTTTGTGGCAAACTCAAACTTGCTCTTTGGGCAAAAGATTAAAAGCCTTTGTCTCAGGCACATAGAAACATTTTCAGCCATTGTGTGGAAACCATTGCAAAGTACCACAGAAATCCTTCACACCTTAGTACTCTGAATAGCACACTCCACATCAAAGTCTGCTAGAAATCCAAGGCAGCTTGGTGAAAAACAATAATACTAAATTATCTTAATCACCATCTCTTTCAGATATATTTCATGAGTGTGTGAAAAATTAAAATCACAAAGAATTTTTCAAAGAAGAAACATCTTTGTCATTTATGTTTGTTTTCAAGGCCTTAACATATGGCAAGGGTGCTAAATCAGTCCTTTATTATTGTAATCAGTAATAACCAAAGGAAAATGAGGTCCAAAGAAAACTCAAAACAGAATGAATCATTGGTAAATGAAAAGGCTTTCAGAGGTAACCTGACATCTTGGCAGATGGAGCAGCTTCAGCTTTACTTCCTGTCCCTTCTTTCTTCTATCCTAATCTCTGCCTTCACCTCCTCTTACTGGAACAAATAAAGCTCCTCTTAACTGGATTTCCTGTCTCTATGCTCTCTTCCTTCTAACCCATTTTATACCTCATTAGTTTTCCCAAAACATATTTTTATCATTTTATTTTAAAAACTATTAATTTATACATTTTTAAAAACTTTTGGGGTTCTTCATGGAACTCTCTCCTGCTAAACCTCATTTTAAACTGTGGCTGAGAGCGGTGAGTTTAAAGGGCTATAACTACAGTCAGCTGCTCCTCTCATCAAGCACTTGAAATGGCCTCCTGTTTTACATCGTATCTGGTGCTGAATTCTCCCTCTCATTCAAGTCTCTCTGCATGCTCTTGCTTACCCCCTACCTCCAAGTTTGTTCTCTAGATCTCAATTCCTATCTTTGATAGTAACTTTATTTCACATGATCTCAACACCCATTTCTGACATTCCTACTTTCCAACACTGTAACCGCCATCTAAACTTCTCCAAACATGATCAATAATAATCAGTAGATATATTCTGTTCATTAGCATTACAGAGTAACTTGAATTCAAACGGTCTGCAATTCCATCATCTTTCTGAGTTTCAAGTGACAGCAAATAACGTCTAAAAATCTACATGTTGGGCTGGGTGCAGTGGCTTATGCCTGTAATCCCAGCACTTTGTGGGGCCGAGGCAGGCGAACCACTTGAGGTCAGGAATTTGAGACCAATCTAGCCAACATGGTGAAACCCCATCTCTACTAAAAATACAAAAATCAACTGGGCATGGTGGCCGGTGCCTGTAGTCCCAGCTACTCCAGAGGCTGAAGCAGGAGAATTGCTTGAACCCGGGAGATGGAGGTTGCAGTGAGCTGAGATCGTGCCACTGCACTCTAGCCTGGGTGACAGAGCGATACTCTGTCTCAAAAAAAAATATATATATATACATGTTTCCCTTCTTTTTTCCAGCTTTTATTTGAGAATCAGAGGTACATGTGCAGGTTTGTTACAAAGGTATTGTATGATGCTGTGGTTTGGAGTATGACTGAACACATCACCCAGGTAGTGAACATAGTACCCAATGGGTAGTTTTTCAACCCTGATCCTTCTCCTTCCCTCTCTCCCGCTTCTGGTGGTCCCAGTGTCTATTGTTCCCCTCTTTATGTTCATGGATTCTCAATGTTCAGCTTCCACATGTAAGTAAGAACATGTGGTATTTGATTTTCTTTTTCTGTGTTAATTCACTTAAGATGCTGGTCTCCAGCTGCATCCATGTAACTGCAAAGAACATGATTTTGCCCTTTTTATGGC